TTTTTGCGGTACGCGGGCCTCTCACTGCTGTGGCCTCTCCCGTTGCAGAGCACAGGCTCCGGATGCGCAGGCCCAGCGGCCATGGCTCACGGGCCCAGCCGCTCCGCGGCACGTGGGATCTTCCCGGACCGGAGCACGAACCCGCGTCCCCTGCATCGGCAGGCGGACTCTCAACCACTGCGCCACCAGGAAAGCCCTGTTCCTGTTTCTCAGGTGAGCTGTTGCATAGCCACGTAGGGGGGTTTTGTGCTTTCATTCGGCACCAGGGAATGTTTTCCTGGCAAGGAGTGATTCAAGTATTTATAAGCGCTCACTTTTAGTAGGTTTGCAATTCTCTGCTGCTTCTTTTTCCCTTGTCCGGGCGGCCCTGTGGTGGGTTTGCGTTGGTTTAACGCGCTAGAAATTCATGGTAACCTAGTTAGTTGGCTACGTTCTATTATAACCCTGGGCACTTCTGCCTCCACGGATGGACCTCTGCTGTCATGATGAGTCACAGATGATGGCACTTATTTTATCATTATGATCAGTACACCCACAGTCATCAGAGGCCTGCCCCTGTGGGAGCCCAGCTGAATCCCCACCACTCACAAAGCGTCTCCACGCACCTCAAAGGCTGTATTTTGGCACCTGGCTCTCTAGAGATACTTTATGCAAAGCGGACCCCCTTTTCCAAGAGCTTCAACTGCACTTGTTGAATAAGTGTTTGACCCAACATACGTGGATAAGTTTCGACCTAGCAACGTCCTTCCTGCGGATGGAAATGAAGTTTTCACCATGGAGATGTCACACACACTGCCCTGGTTAAGGCGGTCATGAACTCCAAATGGGCTGAGAGCAATGAACTCATCCAAGGTAGAATCCTGGATGGTTAAACATGTGAACATTTGGGTAAAATCAAGCAATCCACCATCACTAAAATAAAACAAAACCCTCTCTACAAACTGAGGTTTAAAAATCTGAAAAAGTACAAGGACATTTGACTGTCACACTGCTCTTATTCATGTATGGAGCTCCAACGTCTATGAATAATTTTTTTTTTTTTTTGCTTTACGCGGGCCTCTCACTGTTGTGGCCTCTCCCGTTGCGGAGCACAGGCTCAGC